GGTGGGCAAATGAACGGTGTCCAAACGAACGGTGGGCAAATAACGGTGTCCAAACGAACGGTGGGCAAATAACGGTGTCCAAACGAACGGTGGGCAAATAACGGTGTCCAAACGAACGGTGGGCAAATAACGGTGTCCAAACGAACGGTGGGCAAATAACGGTGTCCAAACGAACGGTGGGCAAATAACGGTGTCCAAACGAACGGTGGGCAAATAACGGTGTCCAAACGAACGGTGGGCAAATGAACGGTGTCCAAATAAACGGTGTCCAAATGAGCAGTGTCCAAGTAAGCGGTGTCCAAGTAAACAATGCGTATTTTCTTACGTGTCCAAAAACTGCTGTATCCAAAATTACTGTGTCCAAATGCACTGTGTCCAATTGAACCGTGTGCAAAATCTCGTGTCCATTTGTAACGTGTCCATTTGCACCGTGTCCAATTGTACTGTGTCCAAGTGAAGGCCACTCCATTGGGGCTGGGTCCCCTATTCGCTATATTTATTTATATTTTTTCGCAATTTACAATTATTTCTTATGGTTACTTTATTTTAATATATCATCGCAGTGTTAGTTATCGCGGTGTCGGTTTCTATCTCAGCTGTTCTATTCGATCTGCTTGCGGTGCCGTAAATGTGCTCTTGTATTTTTTTTGGTTTGCGCATCGGATTTATATTAGTTTCTGGCAATTTTTTATTTTCTGTCTTACATTTTTTCTTAGCATATATAATTGCTATTACGGAAATTATTATTATTATTCCTGTGCAACTTGAAGCCACGGGATATATAATATGTTCGTTAGTAGGAAAGTAATTGTTATCTAAGTCTTCGTTTGTTTTGTCAAGTTTTTCGCTTAGGTCCCTTAATTCTGTCGGGTTCCTGATGACTTTTCGTAATTTTATTGGTTTAATTTTGTCGAGTGTTTTTTCGTTTCGTTTGTCGTGTGAGATTGTAGTCGGGTAGATTTGTCTGTACGACTGTTATTATCGCGGGCTTTTTTGTCCGTATTATGACGTCTTGTGTCGTTAATTTACATTTTTCTTTTAATGTGATTTGTTCGCTTCTTTTTATTTCTAATTTTCGCGTTGCGTCGTTTTCGCACGTTATTTCGATCGGTTGGTTTGCTCGTGTAGAGTATAACCTTGAGTTCGCGTTACTCAGCGCTATTCATATTGTTGTATTCGTGTGTATGTGTCGAATATTACAATTGTTTGTGTATGTCTCTAACTGTACATATGCTTGTACTTCGCATAGCGCTCCTTCGTCTAAGTAATGCACGGGATAATTCTGTTCGTAAACATATTGATAATTATTTCGCATGCATTTATTTAGATCGCTTTCGGTAGGCGTAAAATACGTTCAGCTATCTACGTCTATCGCTATTATCGGTTGATTTACTTCTATAAATATAAACGTATTATTAAATTTGTGCGTAGGTAGTGGAATTGCCTTTATTAGTAGATGAGTATGGCCGGTTCTAACCCACCTTGCTTTGGAAATTCCCATAAGAGTGAGAGAGTCAACATGCGGATAAAGTGAGAAACTTAGATATCTGAGGGAGGCATGTCGGGCAGGGGGGAAGAAAAGGAGGAGTACGTATGGTGAGAGGGGAAGCGGGGTTGAGGGGGGCCGGGGAAGTCACGAAGCTCGAACGGGGTGAGAGGGGCGAGGGGTAGGGGGTGATGAAATCGGGTCGAGAGATCGCGTTATCGCGTCAGGTGCGTTAAAGACGCGAGACGCGGTCGACGCTTTATCTCCGACCTTGGGAGTCGCGATGACCCGTGACACGTAAATACGATAAATCGAAGACGACGAGATGAGAGAATATCGCGGGCGGCGAACCTCGGCGCGATACGAGAAGCGCTTGTCATCGTTGCGCCTACCGATCGATTTTTCCGATCGACGCGTCGCGGTCGTCGCTTCATCTCTGACCCGAGGACTCGGGGAGTCGCCATGAACCGTGACATGTAAATACGGAAAATTGAAAATGATTAGATAATAAAATATCGCGGGCGAACCTCGGCGCGATACGAGACTCGTCGCGCGTACCGCGTAGATCTAGAAATAGATCGATGAATAGGTCAGGATCTAGCGTGGAAAAAAACTAGCTGTCGTAGCTAAAAACTGCGCATGATAATTAAATTTCAGTCGTAATATATGAACAACAAACATTGTATCGTTAAGAGGATGCCGGACTGTCCTGTTTTACCGGCCATAATAATTATATTTTTGTACACCGAAATTTTTTTATTGGTTACATGAAATGAGAAATCCTTTTCCACGATTAAAGTATATACATCAACAAAGTGGGAACCTCGCGCTTTTATGTTAAAAACGAAGAAAAGTTAAAAAATTACAGTTTTTTATCGGCTTCTTGCGTCAGGTCGTAACAATATTTGCTTAATATAAAAGTTGTGCAGTTTGTACGTACAAAATCAAATAGGTTCCCACTCGGAAATGCATGAAAGAATATAAGTGAACGTTTAAAAATGTATTTAGAAGCCTAGTAAAAAAAATTTTTGTTTATAAAACTTTCGTGCATATGTGTGTACGAGATGGAGGCTCAAGAGTAAAACAGAGCAGTAGATTAGTTGCGTAATGTCGCGATAGACAGAGCTGCAATCGTACATGACAAACACAGTCATAATCGTACTATCTTCGTCTCTTTCATGCGTATGAGAGTAATATACATGTACGCACTAACATTATTGCAGTATCTTTTTTCTCTCAATCATACGCTCTGTCACGCTCTGTCTCCCTATTTATTACATAGGTGAAACAGCGAACATCTCGCAATTAGCGGTGATACTCGTTTATTACGCGCAACAGCAAATTTTCTATAGTTTAGGAATGTATCATGCGAATCATGATTAGCGATGGTAGCGAAAATTTTTCCATAAAATCTAATGGAAGGATGTCGAATAAAGAGAGGTTCTCGCATCGAAGGAGAGCGTTTTTATTTGTGACAGTACAGAGATACAACAGCGCGTTAGGATTCTCCGAAGAGCAGAGCCTGCAGTTCGCAATCGATTATATCGTTGCGGTCGAAGTTCTCGCTGTCGCGTATCGCCGTCGGAATAAGCATCCAATCGCGGTCGTCGGCCGCGATATCGAGGAAGCGCGTTAGCTTGTTATCGATGTATCCGGTTAAACCGCTCAAAGTTGTAATGATGCGGTTGATGCAATGCTCCAAGTTTAATATATTTAGCACGGTGCTCCTCGATGCGACTAGACGATCCTTAGGTGTTTCGAGACGGAGTATTCGGAGATTGTTAAGTTTGCCGAATCGCAACGTTAATTGTCCGATATATATCGGGGCTGGAGGGCGCATCTCCTCTCGCTCGTCGCGCTGAAAGTACGATGTAAGCACGGATCGCAGATCGAGCAGTTCCTTCCACACATCCGGCGCAAACGAGATCTCTTTGCCGTGACAATTTCCGAGGACGACTTCCACGTAAGAGGGTCGGCTGACGTTAACACCGACTTCGAGATGTTTGTACGCCGTTTTATCGTCCGTTTTATCGTCCGATCGCGACGTCGCATCTCGACGTCCAGTTGTAACCTTGTCTGAAGATATATAAATGCGGACGATGAGAAAAACATTGCTAATAGGACAAAAAAGTATTAATTTGAAATATGTTGTTCAATATTCTTACACGCTGTCCATCCTCGCTTTCTTCGCGGATCCCGCGTCATTCTCTCGATTTCGCTCGGCGAGCGTCGATCGATCGTCGGCCGGATGCTGCTGTCCCATTGCTATGTACATGGTTGTCTATCTTTTTTCACTCGTATGCTTTAGTGTACGTCGTCGACTATAAAGTGTCTAATGACTCGGCGATCTTTATATACTCGCGTAGAGATCGCTCCTCCTTCCGTGCGCATCTTTTGCTCCTTTTTATCATATTCTATTTTTACAATTACATTAGAGCGATGGCGGAAGTCGCTTTATCAGTCATCCTCTTCGTCGATCTCATCGCTCTCGGTTACGTCGCCGAGATGATAAGCGCGAATCAGAAGATCGCGCAATTGTCGCAACAATCCGTCCGTAGGACACTCGATACCGAGTACGTGAAGGTCACGATATTCGTGAATTTGTTGAACGCGTAGAATTGATGCTTTGCGAAAAAATATAGGTTACCGTCAATGTGTCGGTAGGCCGATGTTATCGCGGGCAGTATTCCTGGAAATATATCTTTCAACGGAGCGTGTCTAACGGCTATCACGCAACATTCGTCGATCTCCGCTACTTTGTCGTCGTCGTAGATCGCGTAGGTTCGTCCCGTATGCGTGTTTATCGCGGCGTTGATCTTAGCGTCTCGGGGAAGTCCGATATCGTGGAGAGATCTAGGCCAACCAGGTTTTAGCTTAAAACTGGGATATTCCGCGACGTAGATCGAATCGTTAACAAATAGCGCGAGATCGCCCGAGGGTTTTCGATATGCGGCGGACAGGCGCGTGAGATTCGCCGGAAGAAACGTCGCGTAATCCGTCAACTTCATGGGTCTACCGTAGCGTCTCTCGGTTATGTCGACCGACCATACGTTGCGGCGATTAGCTATGTACAAGCGACGATTCATTATTAACGCCGCATCTATGCGCCGCAATGCGCAGAGATCCGCGCGCGCGGGGTCGGTCGGCTCGACGCTCGTCGTCGTCGCGGGTGCTATGGTGGTTGTGGGAATCGTTGGATAGTTTCCATCGTCGTGAGACCCGTACAGATTCTGTATAGCGAGGACGTCCTCTATGCTCAGCTTAACCGGAAATTGATTTTCGATGTCGGGTATATACGGGAACATTACCGAGTAACGATGAATTCACCGTCCATAACGCGAACGCCGCTTCGGCCGTTCTTAAGAGTTCTTCGCTAGTCACTTGAAAATTCCACGTGAGAAGAGTTTTCGGCCATTTTCGCGCGATCGGGCTATACGCGCGACCGGGAATGTCCGCGAGACCGCATCGCGGTTTGCGCATAAGACGAAGCGTATCAGGGTTTAACGCACCATTTCCTGATAATTGATAGTATTCCTGAAACAGCGACAGCGGGTGACGCAGAGACGTCGCGTTGTCGGACAACAACGATCCTCCATCGTCCTTCAGAAAACCGTACGCGCGCAGGAAGCGGAGCGCCTCTCTCTTCTCCGAGTCGACGGGCGTCGCTGCGACGAGCATTATCGCTAGGATGAGAACAATCATCGTCTTCTTCGCGGACATCGCGCGGGTCGAGAGGGACGCGGGAAACGATCGATCGAGAAATATTGGACGTAATAAGAAATGTTCGACGAAACGCTTATTTTTGTCTCTATCGCGCAAATCTGGGGTAGAGGGGGAAATAAGGTCAAGTTAGGTTAGGTTGTGACCGGCCAAGCCGATTTATTACTTACTTATACCATTGAAATCTGTGGATTCTCTGTCCATTATACGGTCGCCAGCTGTTTTTACCCTCTAAACAGCAAGGATTGGACTTCAATCGAGCGATATAGGAACTGGGTGGCCGGGAATCTCGAAACTCCTTGGTTTTGATCACCTCTCGCCGGAACAATCACCTCGAATGCGATCTTTTCCAATTTGGGATGCCGAGCGCTGCGAAGCCTGAAGATCCTGTTGAAGAATACACCCGGGGTTCCCGAAGACCGAAATAAGACCACTGAATTAAAATTTGAAAATGAATATGTTTATTGAATATAAGACTTGTGAATAAATCACGAAATGGTTGTTAATGAAAAACGTGACTCGAATTACTATTCGCAATCAATTATTTAAACTATCGACTTTAATCTCCCGAATCTTGCCAGAATCCAGGAAACTGAACTACTACAGATCACGCGCCGTTCGCGGGTCTTAAATGTACAACGGAATAACGAGTTCTCTCAACTATCGCCTCGCGCCGACTGACCTCGAGTTTCGCTACCGGATCTCGCACATTCCTTCGCTCCCCACTCTCGCACATGCGCATTTCGGTTGCGCACCGATGTTCGCGCCGCTCGTCACGCCGCTTCGCGCGCTATGCTTTCTACACACCGGGTGTCTCACATGTATCCATTCCTTATGCAACTAATTCTTTCTCTTTTTACAGGTATCCTTGGACTCTGACGCCGCTACAGGTAAGTATTTACAGGTAACTCTGCGTAAACAAATAATAATAAAACCGGAACATGTATATACACCTTAATCTAGTTATAATTCCCTATACTAGGTACTCGAATTAAATCTGTCGCCTCATTAGCACGTATGAATTGAACTTAATAATTTCTTTAATTATTTCAGGTATCCGTTTTCGACTAGATTATTTGTACAAACCAAATCTCCACGAACTAAATAAATTCTTTCAAAATAAACGCTTTAAATTAAATAACTCAAATCAATCTACCGCTCTGCGGTTTCTAACGCGTTATTAATATTAACTCAAATCAATCTACCGTTTTCCGGCCTCTAATACATTATCAAATGACTATTAATATTTTTAATATACTATTTCTAATAATGCGCGCTTCTTAAATGTATTCTTAATTTCTACAGCTGCTCTGGACTCAGACGGCCCTCCGTCGATGCTCCAAAACGCCTCTCAGATCGTCCTTCCTGCACAGGCTGCTTCCGCGTTCCCTTGGACCACACCCTGTGTTGTCCTCCTCGCTTTCCCAGGCACCCCCGCGTATCTCCTCAACGGGGACCGATCCAGCCGATCGCATACCCCCTTCTAAAGTTTTCTCGAAATTCGGTACGTATTTCGAGAGAACTTTCCCAAAAACCGGGCTGTGGTTGGTGCGATCTGATGTGGTCTGGTTCTCGTTGTCAGCCTCATCTTCGCTGGATACGATTTTTATCGCCTTCCGTTTCTTCCTCACCGGCGAGTGATTCTCCGATTGCATGTTGTAACTTTCATGCCTCGAGCTGCTTCCCGCCGGGCTTTCGATATGGTCCCCTTTTTGTTGATTGGGCACCACGTTTTCTTTTTGCTGGTATTCCTCGAACCATTTCTCGCTTTCGAGGTCCAATGTCTGCTGCTGGTCCCGTTGGATTTTAGTTTCCAACAACCTTGTCTCGAACGTTTTTCCGCCTGGGTCTACGAATTTTCCCACCAAGTGTTGCGTCACCCTTGGTTTAGCCTGGACGTCTCTCGCCTGTTTCTTTCGTACGCTGCTTCCGGTTTCTTCCGAATTATCCGGGTCTGCTGATTCTCTCCTTTGGCCGATGTCCCTCTCGTTCGCTGTTGGTCCTTTTCTCCGCCGTTGGATTACAAATTTGTGTCTTTTTCTAAGTCTAATTAATCTATCGCGTAACATATCTGTTCGTTCGCGCTCGTCCTTATATGTATCATGCATTAAATCTATTAATTGTCGCTGCAATGTGTACGCCGTATTACACAGCGCTTCTAATTTTCTTTTCCTATTCATTATGTTTTTCTGCCGCGTCTTTTTTCTATTTTCCGCGCCGCTTTGTTCGTTTTCGCCCCATCGATCCCTTTCGCGCGCTTTAACGCCCTGTCCTATTTTCGAATTGACTTTCTCTCTCACTTTCGCGTCTATGTTCGCCGCGTTCAATGGTCTGTCACAACTTCGCGCCGACAGATTGGCCGCGTTCAGCAGAGAAAGCGCTCAGTTATCGTCTTGTCAACACTTGACGTTGATTCGTTGGTTCTAAAAGTAAGAACCAATCACATTCGATTGCTACTAAGCGGTTTTCTCTGCTGAACGCGGCCATTGCTTACGTCGCTTATCCGTTCCGCGTTCGCTAATAATGTATCGAAATCGTGTATTTGTGTGTCAAAATTCTCGCTCGCTACTGTGTCGCGTGTACAAATGTTTAATTCGCGTTCTTCTTTCGATGCGTGTGTTATAAGTGACGTGTTGCGTTGTTCCGCGGTGGGATTATTTCTATCGCTATCTACGTCTGTCTCGTCATTTCGTTCGTCCTCCCATTCTGTTTTATATTGTGTCTCTCTTAAACTGTCTTTATTTTCCTCGTTATTATTTATTGTGTCAATATCTATTATTTTATCTTTTATTTGCTCTCTGTCTGTCTTGTTCATATTGTATACTCTATTTATTCTGTCACTAAATTCTTTATCTATTACTGTCTGCATCTGAAATATTATTTGACTCTCTTTTATTTCTGTCTCTTTCTGTCTTTATGTTGTTTCCTATATCGTCACTGTCTGAACCGTCATGTGTGTCTAACTCTACTTTTTCTCTTTTCAGCTCTCTGTAGTATTTTGACATGGTAACGTACTTGTATGCTCCTGCCTTTCGTGCTACTCCCTTGGGCTGTTCCATCGTCTCTTTGTCACTCGCTGTTGGTTCCCTCATCTGGATATGCTCGTCGCTTTGCACCATTGGCTGGACTTGCTCTCTCCATTTCTTTTGTAGCCAGGTAAGCTTCTCGTATGACTCCTTTCCCAGTATAATCGCATCCTTCCTGCCGAATAATACTATTGGGTGTATTTCTATTTCCTTATCGTCTATCGTTGCCCTCAATTGTATCATTCTTACTCCCATCTCGCTTATTTCTTTGATACAATCTGGTATAAGGTCTTCCTTTTGCACGTAAGTCATATTTAGTCCTTCGTTAGTTAGTCTCTCAGTGCATGTCTTTGTAATTACATCGCATTTGCCTTCCTTATCTATGTATGCTTTGCACTTACTTATTTGTATCTTTGCCAGCATCTTTTTGGCTGGTATCTGTTCGCTTAATATATCCTTCACTCGTAACATCAATTCAAAAGCCTCTTGGTTAATTCTCTTCTTTTTTACAGGTTCTCTCATCGATTCGTCCCCTGTTTCTGCTTCGCTGCTGTGTCCTATGGATCTCTTCAGGCTCTTTGCTTGCTCGCTCCCCCTTCTAGGCTGAGGATTGGTAAGTATCTTTTCATTTTCACTTTCTCTCATGCTGCTCCCCCTTCTAGTCTCTTTATGTTTCAGGTCCCTCGATGTCATCGTTGGACTAGGATTGTTTTCTTCACCTTTCTCATTCTGGATGGACTGGTTTAAGATATGTATATCCTTTTCTCTGCTTTCTTTCACATTTCCTTGATTCGATCTCGATTCTTTGTGTGTCTCTTTTCTTCTTTCAGATTTCTTTGCCACGCTGTCAACGTCACTCCCCCTTCTTGACCTGACTTCTTCGCAGTCTCTGCTATCCACCTCTTTTGGATTTCTATGTCTTTCTTTTTCTTTGGCCTTTTGGCACAGCTGCATCGGGCTTGGTATTACCTCTGTCTCTTTTTGTTTTCTCACTTGTATAGTGGCTAATTGACTTCTCATATCCTGAATCTTTCTGTTTTGCTCCATTATATTTTCCTCCTCTTCTTGCAGGTCTATTACGTGAATTTCTATTTCCCTGGAATTTCTCGCTATATTCACCGTGGGATTTAACGTGCGTGCTCTCATTCCCATCCTGTTACAAAATATTCTCCACTTATCATTTCTGAATTGTCCCTGTCTGTCCGTAACTATTATGTCCGGTTTTCTTTCTGTTTTTAAATATTTGTTCGCGATCGTATCTGTCAACGTCTTTAATCTTTTGTCCGGCATATAGTATGTCTTTTTTGATCCGTTTCGTGCATCGGTTAACGATAACGCGTATTTCTGTTCCGATCTCGCCCCGAAAAACGGTCCGTGTAAATTTAACATCGCGATACTTTTACCTTCCTCTTCTTCTACAATTCTTTCTATCATATTTTCCTTTGCTCGCTCGCCTCTTTCTTTCTTGTCAAAATCTTTTATTCCGCGATTTTCCGCGTCCGATTCGGCTTCGTCGCTCATTAATACTTCGACTATTTCTCTCTGCGTGAATAGTGGTTCGTCGCTTTCGTCTATTTCTTCTTCCGTTATATTTATTATTCCAAAAAACTTTCCCTTCAGATTAAATCCCCCCCGGCGCTTCAGTGAAGCGAGGGGGGGATTTAAGGCGGGAGGAGGCACGAACCAAGCATCCATCTCTTCCGTGACAGCGGCACTGTTGTGTCTGTGTAGGGCGTTTACACTTCCTCAGCCCGACAAATAATTGTTAGAAAACAACATTTGCGGGTCTGAAAAAATATGCGAGGTACAAGTGGCTGAATCGGGAATCGAACCCGAGTCTTTCGCTTTCCGGGCAACTGCTCTTACCACTGAGCTATTCAGACCTCGCACCTTACGCCACTCTAACACAGTACATACGACTCCAGAGCGATGTTGGAATCTCGCTCAATGGATGCAGTGCCGATTGTCACGGAGAGACGAAATTATATTTATTATTCCAAAAAACGAATCCATCTCTTCTGCCGTACAATTTGTTATATCCGGCGCTTCCTGTTCTAGCATTATCGCGTTTATAGTTACGATATTCCGGTCCTCGGATTCGAGTTCTATCTCTATTCCGCTATCCCCGCATTGTATCGCGGCGTTATGATAACATATAAAGTCTATTCCGAGCACTATGTCGTGTATTAGTTTGTCTACGACTAAAATCTCTTGCTCGAATCTTGCTTTTTCGATTTTAAACTTTATCGTGGTTCTAAATAATATTTTAATTGCCTTTTTTGAAAACGCGCCTACTAGTTGCATCTTCTCTACCGGTTGTATTTCCATTTTGACCCCGTTTTGTTTCAATTGATCGTATATTTCCTTGCTCATCGCGGATACTTGTGCCCCTGTGTCGATCAGGCATTTTACGTTTAATTTCTTGAACGTCGCTGTTACGAACGGTCCTTTCTGTATTTTTATTTTCGCTTGATCTTCGTAGAACACCTCGTCTACATCTTTTAATATATTTTCTGTTCTTATACTCGCGATTGCTGATTCGCTTTCTCTATCTTCTTCCTGAGATTCTATTTCGCTTTCTTCCTCTCCGCTATATCTTTCTCTCTCTATTTTCTCGACGCGTTTCTTTGTTGTCTGCGCCTTTGGTACTATTTTGTCTTCCCTTATCCTATCTCGCGCTGTATTTCTACCGTATCCTACGACTCTTTTATTCTCGTTATCACCCTCGCTATTCGGTATTTCCGAAATCTGCACCGACGATTGTCTTCTT